TGTGGCCTCGGGCAACTCATTAAGGCCCAAATGCTCCGACCCCAGCGATGGGAGATAAGCCATGAAATAAAGCATCCCATTGTTCGGGGCTCTGAGGTCAATACCTGCAGAAGTGCTCAGGTGTTTGACATGAGGGCTGCTCTGGTGGGGGTCCTGTCACCCCCGGTGAGAGATCAGGAGCCGGATTTCAGATGGAAGAGCCGGCTTGGCCTTTTTCAGATGTTTTAGGCAGGGTGTTGTCGTGCTGCAGCCATGGCTGGGTGCAGGTGGCACGAGGCCAGGAGCCAGCTCAGGTGCCAACCTGCCTCGAAAGGGTCGCTGGTCAATGGGCATTTAAAGCTAAATAAACCATTTTGGGCCAGAGGGATGAAATGCCCGAGTGGAATTTGGCAGGAGAGGTGTTCCCTGCTCTGAGCCTCACCCAGGGCTGGAGGGAGGCTCTGTTGGTCCACATGTGCCCTGGCTTCTCCCAGCCACATCCCCAGGGATGCCTGGTGGCCTCATGCAGACCTGGGGGTGCTCAGCCAGGGCAGCAGGAGGAAGCAAGTCTACATTTTCCCTTTGGCCAGCGCCAGTGGGTTGACCCAAAAAGCTGCAGACCACCATTGTTCGTGTCTGTCTGTGCTCTGAGGAGCTGCTTATTCGTGCAGGACAGAGTATGGACCATCTCAACCCAAACTCTGTGCAATTTGGGGGCAGTGAGCTCCTCACTGGGCAGCAGGTGTCCATCAGCAGGAGCCTGAAGCTGCTCCTGTTCTCCAGGTTCACACATCACCCAAACTCCCTGGTGAAGGTGATGTCCACCCCTGTGCCGAGGGGCACATCCACCCCGTGTGAGCACCACTGTCCTGCCTCGGTCACTGCCTGGCCCCTCACAGGGAGCACTCCCACCCTGGTGAAACCAGTCCTTCGTGGACTTCTCCAAGTGCTTTTGCTGCTGCTTGTGAGTCTGTCCCGTACATGGGATCCTCTCTGCAGCACTCAGCATCTCTGCAGGGTTCATGGACTGCAGAGAGGGGTGGAAAACCCTTGGAGCAGACGCTGCCCGAGCGGGACAGCAGTGCCTCCCTGTGCCGGGCTGGCTGGAGCCACCCTGCCCGTCCCAGTGGGCTGCACTCTGCTGCTGCCCCAGGCTCAGGCTGGCTGCTGACTTCAGCACGGAGCTCAGCTGACTGCAGGGCTGGCCACAGCCCCTAATCCCCTCTACGTGCTGCCTCGCAGTCCTGCCGTGTCCCCCGGCCCCGCTGCTCCAGCCCCTGTGGCCCCAAATGACCCCACACATGGGTGGTCAAGCTGGGACACCTTAACAACACCTCCCCTGTGAGGGGTGTGAAGGAGAAGCATCAATATTTGCCACGAAGAGGTGGACAATGAAGCAGAGGGAGAGGGGAGGGTGTCTGCTCCCTCCTGGCTGTGCTCCAGGCAGGGGCTGATTGTGTGTCCCTGCAGCTGCAGGGGGACAGTCACACCAATCCCATTAGTGTCACCCACTCACTGCTGCTCGCTGGGGGTGGAATAATGATCGAGGAAGCAGAGAACAGTCAGTCAGGTAATTAACAGCATCGGGAGTGCTCGTGGAAAGAGGTGCCAGTGTGCCACAGGGCTGCCCTGTGCCCAGCCAGGCCACCACACAGAGCCCTTCCTTGCAGGTGAGAGGGACCAGGAGTGGCCACCATGGCCCAGGGAGGCTGCAGAAACCTTTGCTGACCTACAAATGTGTTTACTTACCTGCTGCCCGGTGGCACCAGAGGACAGAGATAAGGCTTTGCGTGATGCCATGATTGTATTTTTCACGTCTGAAGCTTTTGAAAGGTTACCTGGAACTTTGAACCTCTGGGGTTTATCAGGTGTGCTTTGAAGTGGCTGAAGCCACTGTGTTACTCTCGATCCCAGAGCAGGTTAATGCGGTTTCTGCTTCCAAACAGGAAAACTTGATTTCTAAAGATTTGCTTCGCAGCTTTGTTTTGATTCTCACATGTTCAAGAAAAGAATTTAGTCCCACCCAGCGCCAGTTGCCACCGGCTGGAGAGGATGGACACTTAGGGACATGTCTTAGTGGTGGGCTTGGACTTGATGATCTTGGAGGGCTTTTCCAACCCAAATTATTGATTCCGTGGTTCTTTGCCGCTGCTGCCTGTCGCTGGAAGGCTGGGATGTGCCTCAGGCAGGATCAGCGGAGGAGCCGCTGCCTGTCAGCCCTGCCCAGGGCATTTGTGATGCAAATCCAGCCCCTCCAACCAGGCTCCCACCCCTGGAAGCAGTCAGGGCTCAGCCGGGCTGGCTACACCAGGTAACAGGGAGCACACGATGTGCTTTCAGAGCAGGGATGGCAGAGGGTGAAGAGCTCTCGGGAGTAATTAAACCTCAGCAGCACTGAAGCAAACTGCAGCTGGGAGTCAGGGATTTGGGGTGAGTGTTGGGTACTAATTTTGCAAATATTGAGAGCAGCTCTTCCACATGTGCCAGTAGGGTTGGGATGGTGTCCACTCTGTGCTCAGCATCCTCAGGCTGGGATTCTTCAGCTGATTTCTGTAGTTTGGGTGAGTGAATGAAAACCTGTAAAGGCAGCAGTGCAGCCTGGCTGTGCTGGCCAAGCTGGGAAGTCTCTGGTTATTAAATAGGGCAGGAGAGCAGGAGGGCTCAGGCTCAGGTTTGGTTCCTTGGCCGGGCTCTCCTCAGGGCTGAGCGGGCACTGCTGCCTGCACAGGAACTCACTGAGTCACACAAGGTAAATATTTTTCCCTTTGATTTTCACCCTGAGAAAATCTCGAGCTGACCTTGTTAATCCCACGTGTTACAAACCTCCCCCTGTCCTTTATCAAGTTTCGGCCGCAGGATACTGTTACCAGCTTAGCACCTCTGACTGCTCCTGCCAGCATCCTGCCTGGCACTGTGCCACCCTGATCGGTCTCCTGGCCTTCCTGGCTGTCCCAGGGCTGCCTGGCTGGCAGGACCATGCCAGTGCTCCTACCCAGGAGGGATGGAGGGAGGAGAGGAGCTGGATGGCTCTGGTCAGCTCCATCACGGTGCTGGACCCCTGCAAGGTGTGTTAGACAGGATCTCTGCAGGGTGACGATGCCATTGGAGATCCTGCCAGCTGCCCAGGTTGTCATATCCTTCAGTCTTAATTCCTGTGTCTGGAATGATGTTCTGTGGATGCACAAAGTGCTGGAGCACCACCCAATTCAAACCAGCACCTCAGAGCCTGAACAAGGGCCCTGGAGCGAGCTGTGCTTGGAGTTGAAGGTCTGTCCCCAGCTCGACTGAGTGCTCCTGGCCATCCCTCTCCAGGGCAGCCCAGTCTGCAGCTGGACCCCGAGCCAAGCCTGCAGCTCCCACCTGGCTCCAGCTCCTGCCACTCCTGGGCTCCAGCACTCACAGCAGCCCTGGGCTTGTGCCAGCGGCTGCTCAGCCCCGGCCGGGGGAGCACCCGCTCCACTGAGCGAGTCTGCTCAGCTCTGGGTGTCCAAACTGCTGCTTGCTGGGGTAAAACAGATCAGTTTTTTGTTTGCCAGCACTGAGAGCTTCTGGGGAAGGGGTGTGATTAGAAAGAACATCGCCCTTGACACGAAAGCTGTGTCCAAACTGCCCTGGCCGAGGCACTTGGTAGATGCTCAGCCCGGAGCTGTGCCAGGATGGGGCGTGTGGTGCAGGGCCTGAGGGGGGCTCTGGGCAGGCACAGGGTGGGAAAAGGGCCAGCAGAGCTCGGGAGTGAAATAGTTAATGCCCCTCTCCTCCCAGTATTAAGGGACAAATCCTCTCCCCGGCCTGGTGCCCAGATAAACAGGCTGAGTGTTTCGCAAGGAGGAGGGTGGGAAGGTCTCTACGTGCAGGAGAGGGGCAGTCTGATTCCAGCTCTGCAGCCCCCCACACCCCCCGTGCTGAGCCCTCCCTGAGGTTCCACCCTCCCTGCACGCACTGCCAGCCCTGTGCCCTGCCACTGCCACCCATGGGTGCTGTCCCCAGCCGGTGAGGAACAGCCACAGAGGGGCTGCTGCTCATGGGAAGGTCCAGGAGATGCCAGGACAGAGCCCCTGTGCCTCTGGGAAGCTCTGTGGGACCACTGTGGACAGCGTGGATGGGGCTGGTGGTGGAGGGCACTCAGACCTACCAGGCTGAGTGCCCAGCTTGGGATCCACCTGAGTCCATCCAGCCCAGCAAGTGGGATGCTGCAGCCCCAGGGATGTGGCTCCCCAGGCTGTGGGATAGGTGGCACGGGTCGTCCATGGCCACATCCCTGGCCAGCTCCAGCCTGTGGCTCGACAGAGCTTCTCCAAGATCTTCTGCCTGATCCAGAGTGGGATGGATGCAGGAAGGGAAGCAGGCACCTGGCTCTGCTCCCAGCAGGCTCCCTCTGCCGACAGCCACCCCTGCCAGGCCTCATGCCACCACTACACACCCTCTTTGCACGGTGCTTTAGATACCTCTTCTCTCCCCTGACCCTAAATTTGCAATGGGAAAAAAAAAAAAAACAGCCCCAAAATGCATCCCCCAGCTGTGAGAAGCTGGCACAGGCTCAGGGAGGAAAGTCTGGAGCACAGGAGTCTGTAGCCCCCACCCTGACCTCCTGCTGCGTGACCACTGGAGAATTTTGCAACAAGTAAATGTAAATAAAAATGAAATATTTAATTTCCCTTTTTTTATATATATATACATAAAAAGAATCCCTGACAAAGTGCTTTTCTGAGGATCCTCCCTGGGTGGGGTGGGAGTGGAAGGTGTTTGATGGAGGGGAAACTGAGGCACAGAACAGTTGCCCCCTCCGTGGCTGATCCCAGGAGGGGACCCAGCTGCTCTCAGCCCTCTGTCAAGGCCACCAGCCCCACATGTCCCCCCTGTGAGCACCGTGAGAGCCGTGGGGCCACCAGCCCATGCACTGGGAAGGGACAGCCCTGGGGCCGAGGTCGTGGTCTCTGGAAAGGCATCAGGAGCACTGGCACCATCACCACAGGGGCACTGGCACTGTCACCAGAGAAGCACTGGCACTGTCACCAGAGAAGCACTGGCACTGTCACCACTGGCACCATCACCACAGGGGCATTGCCTGCTCGAGTGCCAGATGACAGAGGATCCAGGGGGACGAGGCCACTGTGACACAGCAGCAATTTGGGATTTTCTGGTTCAGGAGAGCCGTGGGAAGCAGCAAGTCCTGGGGTGCACAGTGAGCTGGTCCCGGTGTGTCCAGGGCTGGTCCTGCTGTGCCCTGGCTTGGACAGTCCCTGGGATGGGCACGGGGCACAGACCCCTGGGGGGGGCTCCAGCCGTGGGCATTGTGGGGTCCAGTGTGGGCAGTGCCCGGGGTCAGCAGCAGCTCTTCTTGGGCTTGTCATAGGGAGTGAGTTTGATGGAGTCAGTTAAATAACTCTCAAAAATCCCTTTGTACTGGAAAAAAATCGAGAAGACAAAGGATGAGTGGACTCAGCTCAGAGCCAGCCTGAGCAGCCTGACAGACTGTGGAGTGCCGAGGTTCAGTCCTGATTTGGGATTAAAGGCAAAATCCAGGGAAAAGCCACCTTGTGCAGGGCGTGGGGACACGAATGTCCCTGTTAGATGGCCGCTAGAGGACAGTGCTGGCGCGCTGTGGGTGCCACACACCCACAAAGGGAAACAATTCTTACTCCTTTCTAACCGGTTTAGGATCTATTTTAAGAAATCGAACACTGATGCATTTCTCATTCCCAGGGCTCTCCTACTCGTTACAGCAGGAGCTGTTCCACACCAGAGGGTGGGCTGGGGGGGTCTGTCAGACCAGCCCCCGCTGATTCCAACTCCCCACCCGAATTCCTGCCTCCAGCACAGGCTTGGAGCAGGAGCGATGCTCACCGTCGTTAGCGCCTGCTTCGCGAGGGTCTCGAAAGCCTCTGCCACGTTGATGTTGTTCTTGGCACTGACTTCAAAATAAGGGATGTCCTTCTCCTTGCACCAGGCTGAGGCAGTTTCCTTGGGTACCTGTGGGAAGGGAGGATGGAGCCACCTCACAGGGATGCCTGTGGCTGCTGGAGAGCTGGAACAGGGGACCCTCCACACCCATGTAGGTGAGGGCAGGGTGCTGGCACTGCAGGCAGCTGCCTGATATTGTAATTCCTGCTGCCTTCAGTGACAGTCTCTGTCAAAGGGCAGTGGAGGGACGCTGCTTATCCCCTGCAAGAGGCAAGGGGGAGGTGGCAGCTCCTTGCCTGGAGCCCTGGTTTTCATGTGAGCAAAAGGGAGAAGGCAGATTCTGCAGGTGGAGGATCAGCGCTCATAAGCCATTAGGACACTAAGGCATTCCAATCATGGAATCATTTAGGTTGGAAAAGACTGTAAGATCATCGAGTCCATTCATTAACCCAGCACTGCCAAGCCCACCACTAAACCGTGTCCCCACGTGCCACATCCACACAACTTTTAAATCCATCCAGGGATGGTGACTCCACCCCTGCCCTGGGCCATTCATCCCTCTCTCTCTCCTCTCCACCCTCACCTGCCGATCACAGAGGTCTATTTTGTTCCCCAGCACGACCATGGGGAAATCCTGCTCCCTTGGAATGACCTTCTCCAGGAAGTCATCTCTCCAGTTGTCCAGGGCCTCAAAGGACTCCCTGTCTGTCACATCAAAGGCCAGCATGCAGCCATCCGAGCCCTTGTAAAAGGTCGACACCATGGACCGGAATCGCTCCTGTCCCCCCGTGTCCCAGATCTAGGGCAGAGAAGGGCACAGGTACAGACACACAACAAGAGCAGGGTGGGTGTTGGCAGCCCTGTGCTCTGTTAAGCTCAGGGGACCAGCTTCAGGGAGTGCTGAGCTCCCAAAACTCCAGTGGGATTCCACCATAGTTCACGGATGCTGCGAATCGGGCTCTGTGAATCCGTCCCCGCACCGCGTGACACCGGGAGGCATTTGGGGACAGCGGGACGTGGTGGGACACACATGCCCGTGGGATGAGGGTGGGCACCCCAGGCAGTGCCAGCCCTGCTCACCTGCAGCTTCAGGGGGGTGTTGTCCACCGCCAGGACCTTGGTCAGGATGCTGGCGCCCAGCGTGGTGCGATAATCCTCGTAAAACGTCTTGTGCACGTACTGGTGCAGGAGGGAGGTTTTGCCCACGCTGGCAGGGGGCAAAGGGACACTGGTGAGGATTTGCACTGCTCAGGGGGTCAGTCACAGCAGGGGCTGCATAACCCAGCCCACATGGGGGGCTTCCCTCCCTCACAAGCACTGCTCCTTACCCCAGAGCTCCAATTATGATTATCTTCAGATCCACCTTCTTGCTGGCATCCATGGACGGGCCCTGGGGGACAAGACAGAGTCACCCAGCTGTGGGGATGGGACTGGCTCCTGGTGAGGTGTGGGAGCAGCCACTGCTCCCTGTGGCCTCTCCATGCTCCCCATCCATCCCGGGACCACGGACATCACCATGTCTGCACTGTGCCAGCACCGTGTCCATGCCATTCCAGCACCGTGTCCATGCCATTCCAGCACCGTGTCCATGCCATTCCAGCACTGTGTCCATGCCATGTCTGTGCTGTGCCACCACCCCACTGCACTCATGTCCCAGCCATGGTGGGGACAGAAACTCCCATGACGAGCCCACGTCACTGCCTGTGACGAGCTCCCAAGGTGCTGCTGCACGTCCAGACACGCCAGTTCATCTCCATTCAAAGCTGCTGGAGCAACTTCCCTGCCTCTCCCACTGCTTCTCCAGCACAGTCCCTCCCCCTAAACCTGGCACACACACCTGGTGCACAATGGGGATCCTGCAGAAAATTACATTGATTAAAGAAGACCCCAACCTGTGGAATTCCTCGGGTGCCCCAAGCACAGCCCGGGGAGCATCCCAGCCCAGGAGCACCCTGAAAGGCTCCCCTCGGGCTGCATCCCAGCATGTCCTGGTGTCCTCACATGCTCTGTGCCTGGCCAGGAGCCCTGAGCGCCTCCAGCAAACCCCCTCCCCAGGCGGGATGAGCATCCTCCGGCACTCCCAGCAGCCCCATCCTCAAGGCACCGCCCGGCCCCGCGCCGGCCAAGGCACGGATGGAAACGCTGGCAGCCTCTTCCCTGCATTTTTCCCCGATGCGCTGGCCAGCCCTTCGCCATTCCCCCTTGGAACACCCCCCCTGCCAGGGCGGGTCTCAACTGTGGGGTCCAGGCCCCCCTGCACCCCTCTGCCACCCCAGCCCGGCCGTGGGCAGCATCCCGGGCACAGGCAGAGCCTCATGTCTCAGCACGCATTCTCTTCCCAGTCCTTTTACAGCTTCCTCGGAGGCCGGATGGTTTTAAACTCAAAATGGAGTTTTCCAAACTTTTTTTTCCTGCTCCGAGGGGGGGGTCTCAGCTGCATCCCGGGGGCCGGAGGGACCGGAGGGCAGAGCACTCACCTGCCGGGGCATCCGTCGGCCGGGCGCATAATCCGAGGCTCTGGGCTCACGCTCCAGCGGCGGCCCCAGGGAGGGAGAGGCGAGAGAAGGATATCCAAGAAGACAGGCGTCTGCGGGGCCGCCGCTCCGTGACAATCACAGAAAGGGGCGAGATACTCTGCCGGGGCTTGGCGGAGGAAGCCCGCGGCGGGCGCTTGGGATGGCAGCGGAGTTGCCCTCGGATGGCAGCGGAGTTGCCCTTCGATGGCACAGGAGTTGCCCTCGGAGCAACAGGAGTCCCCGATGGCAGCGGAGTTGCCCTCGGATGCAACAGGAGTAGCCTCGATGGGCAACAGGATGCCCTCGGCTCCGGGGCCTGCGAGCCCCCCCCGCTCGGCTCATGGCAGGGGAAGGAAACAAGGTCTCCTCGTCCGCTGGAGTTTGGGATTGACTTTTGGCCTCTCCTCTTGCTCAGAATCCCCCCGGTACCTTTCACCCACCTCCGCGGGACCCCTTATCTGCGTTCCTGCCGAGGGGGTTGTCGAGGGCTGGGAACAGCTCTCGGCAGCATCCCGGGAGCCATCCCGGACTTTGTTCGGGCGGCTCTGATAGTGCAGGGTGGGATAAGCGGATTTGGGAGCTGGGGACAGTGGGGGGACCGTGGCAGGTGAGGGGGGCTGTGGGATCTATTTGAGGGGGCTGGGAGCTCTCTCTATCTTCATCTCATTTTGCAGGCAGGAGAGGGGCAGGGTGGGAAGCAGGAGCGTTTCCACCTCCTGCTGTATCCCTGCAACTCCCATTCCATAGGGGCTCCTGCCCTGGATCCACAGCCAGCCAGATATCCAAGCATCCCAAAAGGAGGGGACCATGCCAGGATGACAGCCCCAGCAACCAAACCTGGTGGCATCTCCTGGAGGAGGAAGTGTTCAACTGGCAAGTGGGATTTTAGGATCTCAGCTGCCACCATGGAGCAACAGAGGAAGCCTCTGGTTGTTTCTCTGAGCACCAGGCTGGTGCCCACGTTTTTTTGGAGTGGGAAAACCTGCTTGGCCCTGGCTGCAAAGGCAGAGCTGTGCTTCCCAACGTGCAAGGGCAGGTCCTGAGCCTTTGCCAAACATTCTGTAGAATTTGGGGTTAGCAGTGGGAGTGGGGTGTCCCCCCATCTTGTGAACCCTCCTGGCTCCCTCACCCTGAACCAGTGGTTGCTGGTGGCCTGAGAGGGACCCAGGCACGAGGTCCCTCCGAGACCACCAGCTTTTGTTTTGCCACTGGCTGCCCTCATTTTTGTATTTTTTTTTCTCCAATATAGAGATCCCTTATGGGATCTCAGGGAGTATTGCTGCATTCAGCAGGACAAACCCTCCTCCTCCTCCCCAGATGTAATTTTGGGACCTGTATGGCCAGAAAAATCTGGTTTTTCCCCCAGAGGGCAGGCACTGGGAGGAGCTGGGATGAGGCAGAAGCACCTGAGCCAGTTCTCACTGGTGGTGGGTAAAAGGCTGATGTTTCCCTGCAGCAGATCTCTCCTAATCCCTGTTTTCAGCCTATTTTCATCATGCTGCTTCACCTTTGTCCTTGCAGTGAGACTTTACTGTTCAGCCTCCCCCTCAGAAACTTCTGCCCTCGTTCCTCTCTCATGTCCTGGTGGGAGGGGGTTGCTCACCCAGTCAGATGATCGATGCCCCTCTGCGCCAGTGGAGATGGGGTTTGTGGTTGCATTGCCACAGCTGGTGCCTTCAGCCACTTCTGCTTTTGGGCAGGAGGGCTGTGCCCATCAGGGTGCCCAGCCCAGGCTCAGAGCCAGCTCTGGCTTTTGTTTGATTTCGCAAGAAACAGGATTTTTCCAAAGCTTCTGCTCTCCTGGGGTGAGATTCGCCCTGGATGAAGGCAGTGGTGTGGAGGAGGTGATGCCCAAGATGTGGCTCAGCAGCTTCAGCAACCACAGGTTCAGTGCTGTCCTGGTTGCTCCACCATGTCAGCAGTTCAGAGGAAAAGGCTGGGGTTGGTGCCCTGTGACTATGAGGAAGGTCTCGCAGCTGGGAGACCACGAAACACAGGCTGGGGGCTGCCAGAGGCAGAGGAAAGGCTGGGGTGAACAGGGAGGGCACGGGCTGTTCTCTGTGGTGAGAGTGAGGGAAAGGGAAGAAAGCAAAAGGCATCCGAGTGATGAAACTGTTCCTTACACTGTTCAGCCTCCCTGGGGGACAGCAGGAGGTGGGTTGCTCCTTATTGGGATGCTTAGTATTTTCTGGAGCAACATCCCCCTGAAAACCTGTCAAGAATGCTCTGGGATCCCAAGGGCACATGGCACCAGAGCAGTCCTGGTGAAGTCCAGGCTGGGCCATGTCTCAGTGCCAGCTGCTGTTTGGGGACTCTGGGTGGTCCCTTGTCAGGCTGGGGGAGCTGGATGCTCCCCCCTGCCTGTGGCTGTGGTGATGGGCTGGTGCCAGGCAGCACCTTGGTGTGCTAAGAGTTAAGGTGGAAGAGGGAGAGGAGACCTTTGTCCAGCTGCCCCAGCACCTTATCTTTGACTGCAGCAGAGCTGAGGTGAAGTCAACACAGGAAACGTTACAGAGCCCACACTTGGTCAGTGGCACAATCAGTGTTTCTGAGTAAGGCAGATATCTTCTTTTATTGCAAACCACAAGGCTGAGCCGCCAAGTTTACAACCAGTTCCGAGTATTCCAGTGCTCTCAGACCCAACCCTGGGAATGATGGAGCAGCCACGAAGCCTGGTCTGGCACAGGGACACCCTGTCACCCTGTCACCCTGGAGTCAGCGCTGCAGGGCCTTGTTTCAGTGTCAGCAAATGGAGCAAAGGCCTGGATAAAAATAACCCTTTTCCACTGTTCCCTTTCTCGCTGTGTGCCTGGGGTGTCTCATGCATGAGCCACGGCTGCTCCTGCCTTCTCACACATCCTTTGCCCTGTCAGCGAGTCACATGTGCTGCAGCAACTCCTTGGACCCCACAGCCCCCCACAGCCCAGCCCACATCTCAGCAGGTGCTTTGCCCTTTCTTTTGCTGAGCACCCAGCAGCCACGTTGTCTCTGTAAGTTCCTCCAGGGAATCAAAGAAAAATTCAGTGGGAATCACCGGTTTTTCTGGGAGTTTTATGGCACAGGAAGAGCCCCAGGGTCTTTCCAGTCTCCATGTTCCCTTCTTGTTTACCAGCAGCAGCTCAGTTGACTGAGGTGTGCATTCCCAGGGCTCCCTCAGTCCCTGCCCTTGCCCACAGTGGTGGCCTGAGGTCCACGGGATGCCCAGGGATGCCCACAGCCAGCTCCACCTGGGCAGAGCATCCTCTTCTTTCTGCCCCTGTGGAAATCCCAGCTAAGGACCATGAGGTTGACCTTTTGGATCCTGCATTGCCAAGGTTCCCTCCAGAGCAGGGCAGCTCCAGCCACATTGAACATACAGCCCTGGCAGTGCCACGGGTCACCGAGGGAGGAGGGCAGGATCTGGGGAGGAGGATTTTACACCCCAGTGCAAAGCAGTTGAGACCCACAGGGTCACTGCTGGGCTCCTGATGACACAAGCAGGGCAGGTTTTGGTTTATTAAAGCTTTTATTGGCTCATGTTTAAAAAACACAGAATTTACAGAGCAGATCACGGAGCTGCTCGAGATGTTTTTGTGTTCACTGTGAAATTGTGTCCTGGCACGGACTGACCTTCTGCTGGGCTCTTCAGGTGTCTTCACCCCCTTGGGGACACCGATGCAGCAGTGACATCCCCTGGCCTGCCCGAGGGCAGCATCCTGGTAGCTCTGTTCCCCTCCTACCCCACAGGATGCCCCAGCCCTAAGGGACAGCAGGGGCCAACCCCACCCTGTTATTCCCACGGTCAAAGACGGAGTAGAACTGACGGATAAAAACGTCGCCCAAAATCCAGAGGGGTCCGGCCGGAGGGGGGATGTCATTGCCCTGGAAGCCGCTGAGGCAGAAGGTCACACCATCACCTTCCTCCTGGGGGAGGAGAAGGGCAAAGCTGGCAATGAGCCTGAGAGCCTCGTGCCCACGGAAACATTGCAGGAACGGTGACAAAGCACAGAGCAGTGAGGCTTGTCACCCACTGGGACACAGGGCTCAGCTCCCGGCGTGGCTCTGGGCCACCTTTGTCACTGGAGCTGCTGGGAATGGGGGTGGTGGTGCCACAGCCATACCATGAGGGTGTAAGCCTGGGCGCTGAGCGTGTAGGGGAGCCCGTTGATGGTGAAGGTCACGTCGGGCATCGCGTTGAGGTTGCTGCACTCCACGGCGAACTGCAACGCAGCAGGGAGGTCACTCCAGGCAGGGTGGGGCTCCCAGGGCTTTGCCCCCTCCTCTCCCCACCCTGCCTCTCACCTCTCCATCCACAGACACAGCACCGATGTAGTTTTGCAGTTGTTTGACCTCCTTGGTGGGGCCTGCGATGAGCGATGTCCCGGTGTCCACGATGGCCTGGCAGCCCTCGGCGCAGAAGGTCACTGCCCCACCCACCTGGATGCTGGAAGAGGTGAGAGAGAAGGACCAAGAGGGATTTGTCCTGCTCCTCCCCACCCCAGCCCAGCCTTCCCTCCCTGTCCAGCACCACTCACTTGTCCAGCTGGATCTGCCAGTACCCTTGTTGGGTCACTGGCACCCAGTTCAGGGTCCCCGTGAAGCGGGACGTGTCAAAACCCCCAAAAAGCAGCTCTCCTCCCAGGGGGGATTCGGGGTTCCTGGAGGGAGGAGGAAAAGCCATGAGGCGTTTTTTCCCCGTCGACTTTGCAAATAACATTTTAAATGGGTGGATTTACACCTGCCTGCTTCCCACAAACGCTATCCCTGTGAGGCCAAAGGTCTGTGATGCTCAGCCTGGCACCAAACCCCCTTCACCAGCTCAGTCAAACATCTCTATTTCAGCAGGCCCTCCTGATCCCTCAAGCAATGACAGGCTCTAAGCAGCACCCCGGAGCAAGGCTGTGTCCATACGTGCTCATGTAGACGGAGAACAGGGGCAGCTCCACCAGATTTTGTGCCATCATGTTGTCAAAGACAGGAGTGATGCCGTCCACGGCCAGCGAGGGGTAAGCCAGGCCCAGGATCCCGTCGAACTCGGCGTCCAGGAAGGCTTTTCCCGGCTCGCTGATGCTCTCTGCAAACTGCTGGTTGCTCACGGTGAGACCCTCGACCTGCAGGGAGGAGGGGGTTCCACGGGGGTGCTGAGTCCGTGGGTGAGTCCCAGGCAAGTTGCCCAGAGCAGGAGAAGCCAAAGGTGACTCACGGCTACTTGGTCGGATCCGATGAGCCCTGTCAGGCTGCCGGTCCCGTACTGGATGGAGAAGGGGGTCCCTATCACCTGGTAGGTGCTGGACTGTGTTGGATGGAACTTGGCGTGTCCAGCTGGGGGAGGAGATGGGATCTGTCAGCAGAAATGTGATTTTTTTTTGCATAGCCACAGCTGCCAGGAGCCCCCACCACGGCCAGTGGAGACAAATGATGATGGAGGGTGGTGTCACCGAAACACTGCCAAGGGTTGTGCTGGAGTTTTGAGGAGGGATAAAATTTATCCCATTTCAATCTGACTGAAAGGTGCCAGGGTTGGTAGAGGAGCGGGATTAGCTCGTGTGGTGTTTTTATGAGTCCCGAAGACGAGCACTGCTATTCCTGGTTTGCAGCCAGGAGCAGCCCCACAGGCACTGCAGTATCCAGTGATATTCCCCAATTCCCCCTGGGCTCTGGGGCAGCCCTGGGGCTGCTCAGAGATGCTCCATGTCCCATGGCAGCAGGACTGGCTCATCGCTGACAGCCCGAACAAGCCCAGTGCTTGTCACCCACCGAGCCCCCGGGCAGCCAGCCCAGAGCTGTGCCTTCCCACTCCTGCCACCCTGCTCCTGCTGACAAGCCCTATTCTGTACTACCATCTCTGCCTGTTTGTTTAAAGGCTCCCACAAGAATGGCCTATGTCACCTGGGTCCTGGTGGTGTGATCACCACCCACTCCTGGGCAGACACACCCACTGGGGCTCCCCCGACTGCCCCCCAGGTTTCTGTTATCTGTGTGTGCCTTGCAGGGCTCAGCTGGGTGGGGAGGGCCCCCAAAGGGCTCAGCTGGGTGTGCTGGTGACCCCGTGGCCTCACTGGTCTGACTGTACTCACCACAGGCTTTGCTGACGCAGTACACAGAAGGTACCCAGAGGTTGGAGGAGCCCGTGTCGAACACCACGGTGAAGTTCTGGGGGGGAGTTCCGATGGAGATCTGCCCAAAATACTCCATCTAGCAAAGAGTGGAGCAGGGACCACCGTGAGTTGGCAGCACACAAAGAAACTCTGGCAAAGGGGAGCCTGTGGTGGGGTGACCACAGGGCGTGGATGGGGTTCTATCACAGTCACATCACGCCAGGTGAAATAAAGGAGGCAAATATTTAAGGGACAACAAGGGAAGCTGAGGACAAAAGGCAGGATGGTGGGTGCAGGCTCCATCCTCTTCCTGGGAAGGCTGGGCCCTGAGGAGACCCTCATCACCGGGATGCAGACAGTGGAAGGGGCTGTGAGGGCACTGCTGGGGAATGGGATGAGCCCGGGGAAGCCCCTCCACCTCTGGGTCCTCTGTGGTGGGACTTGCTCTGACGAGTGTGTAACGAGTCAGTTTTGGAGGAAATCTGTCTCCTCGGGGGTGGGGGGAATGCAGCAGGGAGGGAGAGGGCTGGCAGTGCCTGCCATGAATGCTCTGCCTTGTCCTCATCGCCACATTCCCGGGAACAAAGGGCCAGGCAGGCACGGGCAGGCAGCGAGTCCTGGCACGCCGGGCACTGCTGCGGGCGTGGGATTTCTGGGAAGCACTGGGGACTGCTCCGGCAAACTCCTGTGCCCTGCTTACATCCAGGTAGTTGATGAGGGGCTCGTTGGCTTCTGAGAAGGCAGCGCAGTCCTCGCTGTCCTGCACCATGTCCAGCCCGTGGGCTTTCCAGAAGTGGGAGAGCTGCCCACGCTCCCGCAGCAGCTTCCGCAGGGAGCGGCGCCGCGTCAGGGGCACCCTGGGGGAGAAGGGTCCTGGTCACTCACACATGGGTGCTGCTGGAGTCCTGCAGCCCCCGTGCCCACCCTGAGGGTCCCAGCACAGCCAGGATGCAGGTCCAGAGCCTGTTTCCCCACATCCCCCACTGCAGAGCCAAGGCCCAGCGAAACGGGGGGGACTGGGTCTGCTTTAGGAGGCAGCAAATCAAGGGCAAAGCTGGCAGGAGAGGATGCACGTCCTGGCAGTGATGGGATGGGCAGGAGCTCAACGTCATTGATGGAAAGGGCCTTCAGGCTGGGGGAGGTGAGCAGGGCCAAGGGGAATTCATGCCAGTGTTTTCTGCCCTGTCTGCTCGCCCAGCCCCTGTTTACAGACCCCACCTCATCCCACTGCTGCTGACGGGGTCTGCCCAGAGGGATGGAGCCCACGGAGCCATGTGAGAAACCAGAAACCACAGTGTGGTGCCAGCACAAGGTGTCTGTGCTGGGGCAGCTCAGCTCTGCCCACTCATCACGGCTCTGGCAGCACCCAAAGAGCAAAGCCCCTCCGAGAGCCTGGGGAACTGGGGTGCAGCTCGGGGACCCCCTTACCTTTTCAGGCCGCTGGCCAGGGAGAGGCAGAGCATGGCGAGGAGGAGGAGGCGCTTCATGCTGGCGGCTCAGTGGCCTCCAACAACCTGCAGGTTGTTCTTATACCCCCAGGGCCGCCCGGCGCCCGCGATAACGCCCCTGCCAGAGTCAACACCGCCTCGGGCACCGGGCATGAATCACTGGCCACGTCCCAGGCGAGGCAGAACGGGCACTGCGGGGTCAAGTTTGCTTTTGTGGGTGAGGGAGTCGGCGTGGGGGGGACCTGCAGGGAGCCGTGCCGGCTGCTTTTGGGGCAGGGAAGGTCTTAGGGAAGCGGGAGCGGGACGGGGCGCTCATCCCAACAGCAGTCCCTGCCCGCTGGCAGTCACACAGCCAGTGGAAATCCCCCCAAAATGCTCCGGGGGAGCGTTTCCCCCCTCTCCTTTGCACCACAGCTCCACCCCAGGGACCTGCCCGTGGCCATGGGGTGCCCCAGACCCCTGCAGCTGCAGGGAGTGCAGGAAAAGGATGCGTTTGTAGCATCAGGGCAGCCACCAAACTAAAAAGAAAACACTAATTAGCAGTGATGGACTGCTCTGGAATCTCCAGCTTTCCCTTTTAAGGTGCCAGGAAGAAGTGGCTTTTCATGGGAGACAGTTCCCTGTTGCTTTACAGCCACTAATGGGCTCGTCCCCTGTGAGTTTTGTTTAACCCGGGACGGGCGTCTCATTAAAGCCTCTGAGTGCAAACAGAAAATGCTGATGAACAAATAAAGCCTTTAGATATGAGGGGAGGCGAGTGGGGAAGTGAGTGGGGGGAGGAAAGGGTTTTCTTACTGCCACCATCTCTCAGGCCAGGGATGATGCTGTGCTGTCCTTGTTTTCCATGTTTGTGGCACTAATGGTTGGGGCCACAAAGGGGGGGTTTTACTCAGGTGTTTTACTCTTTAATGGGGTTTCTACCCTTAGCACTGTGGTAATAAATTTTTTATCTATCCCAGTTAGTCTGTTTTATCCAATTAAAGCCCTCCTCCAGGAAATCAAAGTCCATACCTGTGAGGCCCAGGTACCAGTGGGGCTGTGAGAGAGCCAAGCCATGTCTCCTTTTTAGAGAGAATTGTGTCTCTGCCCCTGGGAGATGCTCCAAGGCTCCTCCTCTCTGCAGCTTTGCAGGGAGATTAAGCTTAAAAAAAATCTTATCAAATTTTTTGGCATAAGCAGAGAGATGCAGGGCAAGGCAGAGTGGATGCTGGTGGCAGATGCTGACATATTTTTCCCAGTCAAATGAAAATTCCCTGCATTTCCCTGTGCCCAGATTGGTGGCTGCAGTGTTTTTTTACTGAGTAGCTTTACACCAAGTGATTATGTGTTTCCCTTTTAAGATGCAGTTTAATGTACTTTATGTATTTAATGCATTTCCCCTCTTGTCCTAATCACATATTCATGGATTAAAAAGAAACTTCCTAAAACAAAAGCAGCTGCAGCAAGTGCCAGATCAGCTGAAAGCAGCAAGTGGATTGTTCCAGACATGGTTTATAACCCGAAAATCCTGTCAGAAAACCCAGCCTGAAGGGTCACTGGGCTTCAGAGATAAACGTGAGGGTGAGCTGTAGCACAGACACGCCAAACACTTGTAGTGAAATGGTTTATTTTGTTCAAAAGATTCCCCAATTGGATCATCATAATCTGCAAACTCCTAACAGCAGATTCAGCATGAAAATGCGAAGATGAAAGTCATAAAGAGGGCCCAAACCTTTCATTTAGAAATTTTTGAAGTGAAGCAAAATCATTTCTACTTTTTTAGCTATTTTAGAAGGAATTTTAAGAGCTAAATTCTCAAAGGTGCATCAACATTTTTATTTCAAGTGGAGCAAAATGGGTGGGTTTTTTTCTGTCTTTTGGGAGCAACTTGGCCATATTTGCCCAGAAAACTGGGACAAAAAGGCTTTGATTCGTGTGTACTTTCAGCTGTACCTCAATATGTGGAATACACTGGGTTTGCAGGGGGAAGAGATGTCCTGTTTTCAACCCGTGGTGCCCCTCAACTCTTCAGGATCAGCCTGTCCCTGCCTGTCCCTGCCTGTGCTGCCCATCCCTGCCTGCTCCTGGGACGCAGCCCAGAATGACAGAGCCAAACACAGCATTATTTACGACACTATTTAGCATTATTTAGGACACTATTTAGCATTATTTAGGACACTTTGAATCCGTCTTGTTAATAAAACAGCAGAAAAAGCTCTTACACCCCAAAGAAACGTGATTAAAGGTGGCTCGAGCTCCTGGAGCATCCCAGGTCTGGTGATATTTGTGCAGCCCTGCACTGCTGCCAGGCAGGGGCTGTCCCAAGGTGTGTCTCACCCTCTCAGCTGCACAAACCTGCCCTCAGGTGCCTCAGAATTACGTTGTGCACCTTGGGTGTAAAATTCACCTCTTGCCAGCTCTATGTATGGAGCTTTCCTCATGCAAGAAACCTGCTTTGAGGCTAAAAATATGTTATCTGTGTTCCTTTTTATGCATTTCCTTTAGTGTAGCCACTTCCACTGAGAGCTCTGGCTGATTCAAATCATGCCCAAGCAGCGTGTCCTAAAAAGGCCTTTTTTTTCCCCTCCGTTTATCAAACACTTCTCCCACCTGTTAATCTGTTTATCCATCACCGAGCACTTGAAAGAGAGAAATGCTGCAATAGCAAACACTCACATTAAAAAAAAAAACAACAACAAACAAGCAAGTTTCAGTTAAATATTTACCTGTGGCACAGCAGTCGTGGGTAGAGCAGGACTAACATCTCCTGGTGATGGAACTGATGATCCTGCAGGGGATGAGGGGGAATGTGGGAAATGACTGACCCATGGTGGGGATGTGGCAGGGGACCCCAATTTGTGGTGCAGTTCCTGTGGTATGTAGTTCTTGGGATCTGTTCTTCTCTTTGCCTTTAGAAGGTCCAGGGGGTTCACCGGGATGTTGGGATGTTTTCTCCCTGGGAGAGGATTGCTGTGGGGGTGATGGAGATGGTGAAATGCCAGCAGGTGCCATCCCCATGATTAGGGACTTTGCAAAAAGGCTTCCTGACCTGTCTCCTTCCAGGGAAAAAGCACAAGAGAGGCCAGGCTGCTGCAGGGAATTCCCAGCACCTAAACTCTGGCTCAGTTCTCATGGAGCAGTGGCCCAGCCCTCCCTAAATCTGGTGGGAACCATCAGGAGGGGTCTGCCAGGCTGCTGCTTGCACCCCATCATTAAGTGATGCTGCAAGTTATTCCTGAGCCAGAAGACTTCCCAGAGCGTGGGCAGGTGGAGGCCCATCCACCCTCATACGAGGTGCTGGGACCACAACCTCTGTGAGGTAAAATATTTGATCCCTGTGGAAGATGTTTACCTGGAAGCACCCAGAGCACTTTTTGGGTGGCAGCTGAGTTGCTGGGGACTGCAGCTGGCTCCCTGCCCTCAGGACTGCTCTGCTCCAAGGAAGCTCAGCTGCGTTTTGGCACAAAGCTGTTGGAAGACGGAGCAAGACGCAGAACCCGGTCAAGCAGTGCAGGGTCCCAAACCCTGGAGCAAAGTGGTTGCAGAACAGCAGAGAAACACCCAAATATATTTAAATGAGGCAGCTGACAGGGGGGAGGTGTCATGGAACCTCATGTGGGCCCGTCCCTGCCATCGTCAGGGGGGCAGAGCGGGACCGCATCCGGCACCGAGCTGGCGAGCGCTCTGAGCCGCCGGACCCTGCGAAAATGCTGCTGGAACATCCTTAGATCCTGCTGCCTCCCAGGCTCCAGCTGCCCCAGTCCTGCAGGAAGGAGGTGTGCAGAGCTCTGCTGCCCCAGGTAAATCACCGCTGGGTCTCGCACTCCGCCGGGCGTGGGATGCGATGCTCGGAACAGCAGGAGGAGAGCTGGGTTGGGTGTGTCCACCTCCAAGGGAGCCTGCAGGCATGTGCCACCACCAGGCTGAGCTCTGGCCTTTAACTGGGCCAGCAAGGCCTGACTCTGATGGGATTAAAACAATTTGAGGCGTTCTGGTGGTTTTTCTTACCTTTAGATGGAGCGTAGACGTCTTGCGTTGACCTCTCGGCAAGCGGCCAAGGAGCAGCTCTTTGCAGGCCTTGATTCCAACACAGCTTGAAAAGGGTTCATGTCCTGAGGATCTGGAGGGTGGCAGGCCCACAGAAATGACCTGACAGACCCAAAAAAGTACATGTGCTGCTGGGCTCTGGCTGGCTGCTCTCTCCAAACAGAGATTTCGACAACGCGTTCGCGTATCGGCGCTTCCATCTCGCCCTACCCGGCTCAGCAAAGAGCCTGCCTGCCCCTGAGAGTTGGATTTGGGTCTTATTTTGCAATTTCCTTTTG